TGCCCATTTTCTTTTCTTTCTTTGGTATCTAAGTACATTTTTAAACATACTATATCTGTTCAGAGGTTTTCTCAGTCTGGACCTGACCTTACTCAGTGCTTGCATTTGCCAAACCTTAAGCTGCTAAACAGCCACTGTGTGACTCTTGCTGCTGGCTCCTTGGTTTCCTGAGGGCCTAGCTTCATGACTGTGGTACTGGGTGGTAGGAGCTCTGTTTACCACCCCATCTCTGGGAATTTCCTGAGTCCAAACCAGAGGTGTTTTTACCTAGCACACCAGCTGCTCAAGGGCTCTGCTGAACAGCAGGGCCATTTGTAGTTGGATTTTTCTTTGGGCTTCCAGCTCACAAGTCATGACATGGAGACTTCTTATTATGAAAGTTCAGCCTATAGCTTAGGCTTGTTTTTAATTTGCTCTTATAATCTTAGTTAACCCATTTCTATTAATCTACATCCTGTCATGTGATATTGTCTCTCCTTCATCTCCTGTTTCCTCTCTGTTTGGCTGGCAACTCCACCCTTCTTCTTCCCAGAGTCCTCTGTGTCCCCAGAAGTCCTGCCTGGCTATTGGCTTTTCGGCTCTTTATTAAACCAATCACAGTGACACAGCTTCACACAGTGTACAACTATCCCACAAAGGAAACTACTCAGAGAATAATGGGGCCGCCTCAGGCAGCCTGGACTGCTGTAATGAAACATCACAGTCCAGGCAGCTGAAATGACAGACACTTGTTTTTCTAGAGACCAGAAATCCAGATTCAAAGTGCTGGCAGAGCCGATCTCTCCACGTGCAGATGGCAGCCCTCTGCTGTGTCTGCCCAACCTCTTCTAGCTTCTGCAGGCAACAGGCAATATGCATGGTGTGCACATGCACACACAAAGCTATTCACACACAGCCATTCACACGTGTACACGTGGGTCTGCATTCACAGCCATTCACACGTGTACATGTGTGTGCTTCGAGAACAGCGAGTGCTCTGATCACTGAGCTCTGTTGTGTCTTTGAAGGGCACAGTCTTCACCCCTTTGCTTGCTCCGCTGACTGCTTCGTGGCCTCCCTGAAGTAAGTAGCATTACCACGCCTTTATGACAGGATGCTTCCCTTTAGCTGTCCTCCTACCACAGGAGAAGGGAAGAAGGCCTGCCTGAGCATCACCAGTACCCTGAATTCAGACTTTCAGCCTCCTCTCTTCGAAGAAGAAGATTTCTGTTGCTGACAAGCGCGCCTCCCTCCCCAGGCCATAGTGCATAGTTAGGCATCTGATTGTCATATTAAAGTGTTTCAGTCAAAGGGGTCAATGGATGTCAAAGCCAACAGATGCAAGTGGATAAAGAATGAGGCTACATGGCTCACAGTTCCTGCCCACAAAATGCATTGAATTACAATGAGAAAAGGATTGAGCTGATGGTCACAGGGTAAACCTGGTAGACATTCCCTCAGTCAGACTCAGTCAACAGAGACAGTAATATGTCGGAAGTTGGTGAGAAGAGCAGTGTCACTTCTGTGAGGTTCCTGGCCCACATTCATAACTGGAGACATATCAGACAAACGCGCATTAAAAGACACTGTGTGGAATCATGGTCTGCCATCTTGCAAACCCATACACCTGGGAAGAAGAAACCTCAAATGTGGAATGGCCTCCATCAGACTGGCATGTCTGAGAGCATGTCTGTGGGGGCATTTTCTTGATTAGTGGTTGATCAGGAGGGCCCAGGCCACAGTGGGTGGTGCCATTCCTAGGCAGGTTGGCCTAGGCTGTGTAAGAAAAGTCTAGAGGCAGCTTTGCTCCAGCGTTCCTGCATCTGCTCCTGCTTGGGTTGCTGCCTGACTCCCCTCAACCATGGACTGAAACACAGGATGAAATAAACCCTTTCCTGCTAAGGTTTCGTTGGCCGTCTATTTATCACAGCAATACAAACATTCATGTGTGTCAAGGGGAAAAAAAAAAACTGAGGACAAGAGCAAAGCCACCAAGTAGGTCTTTCTGCTACACAGGACATTACTGTGGCAAACGGCAAAATGTGCATGAATTATAACACTGTAGATTTTCTCTGCAGCTTCCTGGTGACTTGGGAGGATGCCATCTAAGGTCTGCACACTAAGGTGCGCAAGAGCGCTGAGACACCGTGGTAGCAGTTCACTCCCAAGGCTGCTAAAGAGAAAAGTGCTTTGCACTGTTTTGGGAACTTTTCTATAAATGTGAAAGTTTTTCCAAATAAAAAGAAAGATAAAATGGTGACAGAAGAGCTTCTAAAGGGATGTGTATGGAAAGAGCTCATTGGGTGTACATTCTAGCAGCCAAGGGGTGGGGTGTTTCAGACACCCATTGTTTCTGCCTGCCTTAGCACTCATTCTTCTCTACTCCAGAAAAGCCATCCAGATTTTATTTTGGGGAACCAGCCCTCCCCCACTCTCCACATGCTGCTAGTGTGGGCATCTGCCCAAGTCAGCCAGTGTTCTTCATCTGCTTGGCTGTGGTCACTGGTTGAGAGAAGGACATACGACTTAAGCCAGCTCAATGTGGGTCAGTCTTCGGGATTTCCCCCCCCTTTGTGAAATGATTATGAAAGAGGTTTTGTTTTTCTCCTGGGATTGTTACTCTCTTAGAAAATAGGCTAAGGAGGCTGTCTGAGTACCTCTCTCATGAAGCCAAACTGTGCAGGACAAAAGCCATCGCCACAGAGAAGAGCAAAACCAAGAGAGGCAGAAACCACTTCCTGATAACCTCCCAGCCCTCAGAGCCTGGCACACTGGCCTTTCTGGTAAAATAAGCCAAATAGCTTTAATTTTCTGCTTAAGCCACTTTGCGCTAGGCTGTTGGCACTTGTGGCTGAAGGAATCATGACTAATATTAGGAAATGCCTAATTCTCCTGGGCTGGAGTTCAGAGGATTGAAGGGAGGGGAATTATAGCCACAGCCAGACTTGGCAGGGCCTCAGGGCATCAGGATCCAGTGTGGGTTCCTGCACCCGCCCGCAAGGTAGGCATTTGAAGATGCCTCGGGAGAAAGCGGGAGGGAGAGCAGGTGGCAGGCAGGCCACGGCAAGCAGAAGGCCCGAGTGCCTGCACAAAGCTTGGTTCTAAGATTTCACCCAGTCAACCCCGTCTCCGAACAGCTCGCTGTCCAGTCCACAGCCTACTGACTACACCCTTGGCACAGCCTCAGCACAGACGCCTGAAGGCCTGGTCCACTCTCCCCTCCCATCCCTATGATAACCAGGCCTGAAAGTTCTCCACCTTGTCTAGGTTTACCAAGCACTGGGCACCAGTCTATACAGCTGAACCCCCAGACAACCCCAGGAGGGAGGCTGGATGGGAAGCATCCCCCCCCCCCCCCCCCCCCGCGCATGGAACTGGAAAGGGAGGCTCAGGGAGGTTCAGTCTCGAGGATGTTTGGTGACAGAGCCAGGTGACTAGAGGGCAGAGCTCCTCCCTGAAAGCCCGGAGTTCATTCTAGAGCTTTTTGATTGGGGCGTTTCTGAAATGGGTCATATGTCTTGGCTGGCCTGTTATATGCGGTGGAAGACAATCTTTCCCTAGGATTGTGTGTATGCACATGTAAGTGCAGGTGCGTGTGTACATGTGGGAGCAGGGGTGTATGGACACTGGTGTGTGTGTGTGTGTGTGTGTGTGTGTGTGGTGTGTGTGTGCGCGCGCGTGTGCACACGTGAAGGCAGGAGGTTGACACTGGGTGTCTTCTATCACTCTATCTTTTTTTTGATTATTTTTTCTCTTATTATTATTATTATTATTATTATTATTATTATTATTATTAATTCAAGTTAGGGAACAGGCTTGTTTCACATGTACTTCGTGTTCAGAGACAGAGCGAATCCCTTCAAGTGGGATGGGCTCTCGAAGTCCCACCCACCCACCAGGGCAAAACGCCAGTCCACCTCCAGAGGCTCCCAGGAGTGCAGTGGCCTCCCCATTGGCATCCATGATCAGGGAGCTGGATTAGTCCCGTACTGGCCTCCCAAAGAGCATCTGGGGTCGATCTGCTTTCCCTTTTTCCATCACTCTATCTTATTTTTGGAGGCAGAAACAGACTCTCATTACCCTGGGCCTCACTGACTGACTAGACAGAGGGCCAGCAAGTTTGGGGCATTCCACCTCTCTCTACTCTTCCTCTGCCCAGGGCCTTATGCTCATGAAGTAGGCACTGAGTCACCTCCCAATCTCATTTGGTTGTTTGCTTGCTTGTTTGTTTTTGAGACAAAGTCTCATGTGACTCAGCCTGGCATCAAACTAACTGCATAGCCACAGATGACTTTGACCTCCTGATCCTCCTGCCTCCTCCTCCCAAGTCTTTCCTTAGATCTCAGAGCACCTTTGCTGGAGCTGAGAGAAACAAGGGGTACTCGAGTTCTTGGGAGAAGAAAGAGGGATGAGAGCAGGCCCCAGGGCGAGGATGCTGACTGGGACCAGGCAGGTTAGAAGAGTTTGTTCCCAGAGGGGGGGCAACTGCACACCTGGCACTGGACTGGACCTAGGAGAGTTACATTTCCATAAAATGAAAGGATCGTTCTCCCCATTTTAGAGACAGGACAAGTGAGAGCAGCACAGAGAAGGAAAGAAACCTGCCTTAGATCGCATGGCAGGGAAAAGGAGAGACTGGGATTTGAAATGGGGGTCTGAGCCCGGAGCCTATGGAGTTCTCCAGTATTCTCTGAGCATTCAATACCCACTAGGCAAGGCGCTAGGAGAGACTGGAGTAGGATGGAGCCTCTCCCAGGCTCCCAGTGCCATCTGTCTACCCTCTCCCTATGGTTATTATTTTCCTTTATTTAATTAAAATGTATTTGTACCATTCCCCCTTCCTCCTTTACTCCTTCCCAAATCCCTCAAGCTGCCTCCCTGTCCCCCATCATCAGCCAGCTCCCTGTGGAGTGTCAGGTGGGCAGAGGTGGTATCTCGGGAGAGTCTTTGAAACACCCTGAGAGTGGGGCCTGAGGGAGCATGGCAACCATAGGAGACAGGGGAGGGGACTGTCTCCTCACACTGCTCTGGAGCAGGGTCCATGCTGGGCAGGACACACCCAGGCCTTGCGCCACTGGGAAGGGAGGGCCAGCAGCATTGGCAGGCCACCAGTGCTCTGCAGGACGTGGCACCAGCCCGCCTCCAGCCGCAGGAGCTGAGGGATGGCTGGGGGGTCGGGTCCCTTTGTGGGAGGGGACCATTACACAAGGGTCCAAAAGCTCAAACACCCTGGGAAGACCATGCAGCTGCTGACTTTTCCAGAAAGATTAGGGGCAGGAGGGGGACTGGAGGGGGGATGCTGGGAGAGGAGCAGAGCTGGAGATGGTGGCTGGCATTTGCAGGCAATGAAGGGCAGAGCAAGGAGGTCACAGCTTGGATGAGAGATCATGATGGAGAAATTTTGATCTTAGAACTAGAAAGCTCTTTCCATGACTCTGGACCTCACCTCTAGAGTGCAGTTGAGGACCCCCATAGCCAGAGGAGTTTGGTTGTGAAAATTGTGAAGATGCCTCCACGGGGCGATTGCTAACTTGTTGAGACTGTTAGGTGAAAGAGAGCCTGGGGGAGGGAGCCATGAACCATCTTAGACAAAAGGCTTTGGGGAGAAGCACTGGGCTGGGGTCCTCAAGTCAAATAGGAATGCCTTGCACCTCCCCTGTGCAAGTGCAGCATTTGGGATGTTGAGTATCTCCTTCCAGCAGAAGCCATGGAGAGTGTGGGCCCAGCTGTACAGTATGCTTGTACACGGTGAGCCAGGCTGGGAGATCTTAAAGGCCACCAGGATTCCTCACTGGAATTTCCTTATCACTGTGGAATGCAGCAGCCCAGGGAGTAAGCTGGGAAGCCTTTGAACACACTTTTTTTTTGGGGGGGGGGGAGTTTCCTTGTAGCTGAGGGTGGCCTTGAACTCATGAGGTAACTAGCTGAGGCTAGCCTTGATCTCTTCCTGATCCTTCCACCTCCATCTCCCAAGTGCTAGGATTATAAATGTGCATCTCTACATCCTGGTTTTCATCCTTTACTCTTTCTCCTCTCTCTTGTCACTCCTCCCTCTTTGCCTCTCAATGCCCTCCCTGCCCCCTGCCCTTGGCAGGGTCTTGCTACATCACTGTGACTGGCCTGGAAATCTCTACATAGATCCAGCTGTCCTGAAACTCAAGAGATCCACCTGTCTCTGCCTCCTGAGGGCCAAGATGAGAGGGGTGGGCCTCCACACTCACCTGTTTTCTACAATTTTTTTTTTCCCCCCCCCCCCCCCCCCCCCCCCCCACCACCACCACCACCACCACCTGGCTTTGTTTTCTACACTATTAATATTAGCAGTTCCTTAACCAGCATTGAGCTCACCAACCACCAAGTTTAAACCAACTTTAAAAGCATTTATTTCCAAAATAAAGAAATGCAACATTTTAAAAGCAACAAGAGGAAAAATTACCCCATATTAATGAGGGAGAAGACACAGCAGTTATAGGGAACCATAAGGGTTTTTGAATCCTGTCACTTTCTTTTCTTACTCCTATTTGTACTGAATTAGAAAACCCCAAGCCACAATTATAGGTCATTAGAAATGGCAACGAATATTTAGTGGCTCTGTCAGATGGTTTTGGATTCAGACCAATCAGGAATCCACGCAGCCGTGTCTCTCCGACAATCCACCCTCACTTCTCAAGTGTGCAAGGTCAGTAGATGGCAGATTTCTGAAAGACATAAGCCCACCCACCCCCCCACACACACTGCAGTTTAGAAAGAGCAGCATGCAGTGCAGCAATCTGTTCTTTGGTTGAATTTGACCCTGGAAAGAATTCTTTAAGTTCTGATGTAATGTTTGGATGTGGTTTTTAAATAGTCTTAATAATATGTCATTGATTCCAGTCTCCTGCTCAGAAACAAAACTCTGCAAATGGTGAGGGAGTTTCAAGCCCCCATAGTGGAGCATTGCAGTTTGGTTTTAGGACATTCTGCTGTGCACAGGGTTGTGGCTTAATTAGAGCTGTGCTTAGCAGAGCATGAGTGAGGCCCCGGGTTCAATCACCAGTGCAAACCATAGAGAAAAGGTCTGTCAACATAAACGCAACAGTAAATCTGTAATAGATTGGTGATGTCTGGGCAGTTCAGTTGTTGACTATATTGCTGTCTGCTTAGGCCACTCAGGACTGTGGACGTGATCTTGACTAGCCTTGTGAAAACATGAAGTCATGGGTTCATTTCCTCACTCTTTTCAAGACTCTGTGTGGGAGACATTTTCCTTCACAGCTGGATCAGCTCCCGATTAAGCATAGACTCTGAACCTCACTTCTCCTATCTTTGCATTGCATACTAAAAAGAAGGTGGTCAGGGACGGGATGGGCTCACAGTATCAATCTCCACTATTTCCTTCAGCTCCTTATTGGGAAGGATTTAGATTTCACTCCTCATTATTGAGGTCAAGAAATAATAGTGTCAAGCCATCAGGATGGCTCAGCAGGTAAAGGTACTTGCTACAAAGGTACTTCACTAACAGGAACCTACAGGGTAGAAGGAGAGAACCAATGTCCACAAGTTATCGTCTGACATCCACACTCATGCCCACAGACAGACAGACAGACAGACAGACAGACAGACAGACACACACACACACACACACACACACACACACACACACACGACAAAAAAATTAAAACAGGAAATAAAGACAACAGTAAAGGTTGGTTATGGTGGCCCATGCATATAATCCCAGGACTTAGAAGGCTCAAGCAGGGAAATCAGATTCCAGGCTAACCTGAGCTACATTCTAAGACTATATTTCAATAAAGCACAATTAAAAAGACAGCGCTTAGCTTCTCTCTTATCTGATAATCTGGAAGATAGTACCCCAAGACTGGGAAATTTTTTTTTCCTTTTCTGATTTGTTCAGAGACCCAGGCTCCTTTCATCTTGCGTTTTGGCTACCCACAGGCCCTCCTTTCATCTTCAGGCTCCTTGGAGGCTGACCACTAACTAAATGGTGCTAAGCAATAGTGGGAGGGAACCGGACAGGGATGCCAGGCGCCCCTGCCTATAAGACCCTGAAAGCCACACTTTATAGATTACTTCCCATTGGCCACATAGTCAGATGGCCACATTCAGTTGAAACTGAGGATGGGAAATGTAGTTTTTATAATTCTAGGTCATCATCTATTCTAATTTTATGGCAAGAAGGGGAGAGGAGGTCTTGGGGGACACTGGCTTACACTAACAGATGCTGAAAAAGCAGTCAGGAAACAGATACAAACTGATTTTTATGGGTGGTCTCTTTCATCCCTGGAGGAATGACCTTCCTGAGGACAAATGTCACTGGTCCTCCCTAGGCCATGATCTCCAAAGCATTTTATCAACTCGTATCATGATGCAAAAGAATAAACAGCAAGCAAAGATTCCGTTTGTTCCAGAAGCATGGTGCTAGAACGGAAAGCTACCAAACACTCTCCTCACACACATGCCGAGTGTGTCTGGACTCTGCACTCCACTGATTGTTAGCCAACTTCAAGCGTGGTCCCACATGAGTTGTTTAAAAAAAAAAGGTGAGCCACAACTATTTGTTCATTCAGGCATGATGACGCATGCCTTTAATCCCAGCTCTTAGATAAAGGCAGGATTGTGAGTGCCTGGCCATCCTGGGCTACATAATGAAACACTTGTGTGTGTTGGGGGGGGGGGGGTTTTGTTTTGTTTTTGAGGCTGGGTCTTTCTTTGTAGCCCTGGCTAACCAGGTTTTAAGACTGCTTTTAAGACCTTAAACACTAGCCAAGACCACTAACTATGCAGACTAAGGTAGCCTTAAACTCACCGAGATCTACTTGCCTCTGCCTCCAGAGTGCTGGGTTTGTTAGAAATAAGTTAAGGCTCATGAAGGAAGAGACAGCCATTCCAATCGAAAGTATACCGACAAGCAAACTTTACTCTTGATTGAGAGGGTGTGCTGGGAGATAAACAGGAGGTGCACTTGATTTTTATGCTAACTCAGGTGGTAGCTGTGTCTTTCCCCATTGGCGGGGGTTCAACCTCACAGTTTTATTCACTTGGCTAATCTGAAAAGAATTGAGTCACAGGGTTACTACTCCAAGGAAAAAGGATCACTGCTCCGTGCCATTAAATTCCTAGAATAGAGCAGTAGGCCTTTGTGTAAACAAAGGTTTTACTGGGTGGAGAGAATTAAAACATTTACATAAAAGTCCTTCAAAGTGGGGGAGAAAAAAATTTTCTAAATATAAGTTTTATAGTATTTGATAGAAAACACTCATATTTGATATTTCTTACAGCATTAAAGACATCGCCACCACACCTGACAAGGGAGCCTGTCTAAACAACAACAAAAAGTCTTAATTAGGTTGCTAGAGACAGTTTAGGCAGGAGACAAGACATTGAATACCTGTGATAGTCCAAACTTGACAGGAACAAAGATTTACAAGTTTGTGTTAAAGCCTAAGGTCTCCACCTTTATTTTATTTATTTACCTTTTTATTTATTTAGGCTTTTTGAGACAGGGTTTCTCTGTGTAACAGCTTTGGCTGTCCTGGAACTTACTTCATAGACCAGGCTGGTCTTGAACTCACAGAGATTCATCTACCTCTGCCTCCCGAGGGCTGGGATTAAAGGTGTACGCCATCACTGCCCAGCTAATCTGAAAAGATTTTTATAATATTTTGTAGGTGTGTGTATGCTCATGCCAGGGCATGTGTGTTAAGATAAAAGCACAAATTATGGAAGTTGATTGTCTCTTTATACCATGTGTGTCCTAGGAATTGAATTTACAAGAATTTGGCCACAAGCATCTTCACCTGCTGAGCTATGTCACTGCCTCCTTAATTATTTTTTGTTTTGTTTTTATTTTGACACAAGGTCTTACCATATAGCCTGGAACCCACTATGTAGATCAGGCTGGCTTTGAAATCACAGAGATCTACCTGCCTCTGCCTCCCAAGTGTTGGGATTAAAGAAGTACGCTACCACACTTAGTATCTTTTTTTTTTTTTTTTTTTTTTTTGAGTCAGAATCCCTTATCAATTAGCCTAGGCCAGCTGGTCAGTGAGCTCCAGGGATTCACCTGTGTGCCATCCTCCCCCACTCCTGCCCCCACAAAGCAGGGTTTATAGGTGCTTACAGCCATGCTCAGCTTTACACAGTTCTGGGGATCTGAACTCAGGTCATCCTGTCTGCACTTCAGGCACTTGACTGGCTGAGCCATCTCCTCAGCCAAAATTTACAAGTTTTAATAAGCATATGAGATAGCAAGAGTTGCTGGGTGATGGTGCCAAATGCCCAGAGGCCGGCAAATCTGAGTTCAAAACCAGCCTGGTGTGCAGAGTGAGTTCCCTGACAGCCAGGGAACTCAGAGAAACACAGACAAACCCTGTCTTAAAAAAAAAAAAAAAAAGATAGCGAGTTATACAAATTAAACTAACTTCTGATTCCTTTTCATGGTATCCAAAAGTTGGCTTCCGAGCTCTCATGTGT